TCTACTTTTCTTTCAGTCTGATAAATCTCTGGTTTGCATTTTGTGCTGAATGAAGCTATTGGGCACCCTATGACACTTGTCAGACGACAAACCGTTATTTTGTGAGGGGAGTGCCCTCTTTCTTTGTTCGCACTATTATCTGGGCTCTGCTTTGCCGTCATTTACTGTGCCCGCCTGGTCATGTGTGTGTGTGTTCCGTGATATTACTAACTATTGCCTTCACCCATGGGAATGAGATGCAATCCCAATAATGCTTTAATTGCCGTGACTGAAATGTGAGGAATGGCAGGAGGTTCAGGACACACAAACACACACACCACCAACCCTCCTTCTCTTTGTGTGTGTGTGTGTGTGGACTGTCATCATGTGTGCATCATTTCCGCCGGTTGCCCTGTACGAAAGACACACACACACCTACTGTTGGGAATCGTGTTTCTTGCACCCTGAACATATTCACATGGTGACCACGAATTCCTCTTTGCTTGGTTTTGTTATATTGATTTTCCCTTGTGTGTGTTTCATTATAATTTCATTGCACGTTATGTGCGGCTGTGTGTTTCTCTTTTGCGTTTCCTATACACCTTGTGTATCTTGTGTGTTCATTTTTATGGAATGATTTTTTCTTTCATTATATACAAACTGCTGCACGGACATCAAGAAAAAAGATATGGGCACGGCGCGTTCAGTACACAATGATCTCCCGCTGTTGACCTTGGAGTGGATTGGACTGTGTCCAGGCATCGCAGCCACAGTCGGTAATGAATTTCTTTTCCTTTTACATCTTTGCTCCATTATTGTGTCTGCCTCACGCAGTCACTCTTTTTTTACATTTTTATTTTCGTATAAAGATTGGTGGGTTGTAGGTGTTTGAGTGTGCCCCTCTGTTGTGTGTTCCTTTGTGTGTTTAGGTTGCCACTCCACACCGCCCACGTAATGAAAACACATTTCTTTGTTCTCACCTTCTCTCTCGGTGGTGTCACTCACGGCATTGCCACGAACATATTTCTGCCCTTGTGGTGTGTGTTTTGTGGCTTGCTTGAGTGACTGCAGCCTGCGGGGAGGTGGAGTGAGACTGTTCCGCCTCGGCTTCACGTAATGGGTCTGTTTTCTATTTATTTTGCAGTCTGCCGGTGTGGGTGAATGTTTTTCTCTGATGAGAGTGGCACCTGTGTTTATTGTATTGTGAGTGCTTTGTCTGCTGTTGGTATCCTGTTGTTGTTGTTGTTTTCTTGTGTTTTTCTTTTCCTCTCTGTAGGTGTGTAACTCCGTGTATGTTTTGGTGGATGCTGTAGTGCCTATCTGATATGAGCATGTGAGAGTGCAAATGTGTGGCTCTCTGGGCCATGGCGTCTGTGGGGCGCATCGAGTGGCAGCGTGGCGTTATCCACCGACATGTGTGTGAGCGGCTGGGGTGGCGGTGTGGTTCCTTCACGCCAGTCCAATGCCCTGTGGTGCGATTGGGGTTTACAAACGAATGGATTAATGAGATTCCCTCTGTCCCGAGTTACTATCTAGCGAAACGGCAGTCAAGGGAACGGACTTGAAGGGCTAAGCGGGGAAAGAAGACCCTGTTGAGTTTGACTCCAGTCTGGCTCTGTGCGGCGACATCT